CCTTCTCCCCTTTCTTTCTTTTTCTGGTTGATTGATTTTTGAGACAGTCTTGCTGTGTAGCCCAGGCTGGCCTCAAACTTGCAGTGATCCTCCTGCCTCAGCCACTCAATTACAGGTGTGCCCCACTATACCTGGCTGAACATTTTTTAAGAGAAAAAAACTGCCCTTTGATATTTTGTGCCTGTGTGTGTTTTTAATTCATTGCATCATTAAAAAGCATTAAAGCTATATTACTATTGACTTTACAGTTATAGAGCTTTTAAAATATTTCAGTGGATGGATTTAGAGGCAGGTGTTTGAGGCTGTTTGATCAGTGCATGACTGAACAATATTTCATGTATTTCAGTGGTACTGATCTGATCCCCTTCTGTTGCTTTTTTTTCCCCCTCTCTCTCGGTGTTTAAAAAATTCTTTTGCCTTGTCCTTTTGTTGATGACATCTATATAAACCTAATCAGCCAATTTAAATATTTATAAACAAAATGAATAGTGAGATAGTGAGTTTTTTATGATTTGTCAAGTATTTAGAGTAGATTTATAGTTTTTACCAGTTGGAGAAGTAAACTCTTCTGTACAAACCAGGTTCGCCATAAATTACTTTTTTTTCCCTCTTTGTTGAGGATCTAACTCAGGGCCAGAGTCAAGACTCTGCTGCTTAACATCTCCCCACAACCCCTTCCTTTTTTTGGGGGGGTACTAGGGATCGAACCCAGGACCTTGTACTTTCCAGGCAGTTGCGGTGCCACTGAGCTAAATCCCCAGCCCTCTACTGCTTAACTATATCGCCAGTCCCTTAAGTTACTTTTTTTTTTTCTCCTGTGAAATTATATTTCAGTCCGTTTGAGTAGCGCACAATTAAGGTAAATTACGTTGTATGTTTCTATAACCAGGAGTTCTTAACCTGAAGGTCTTTCATCTGAAGTTTGCAAAATTTTCTTTGATGTCTGTACAGTTTGCTTATAAGATTCCCAAGAGCCCCTGCTTCCCAAAAGAGCAGTTGTGTTCGAAAACAGCACCAGTAACTACAGAATAAATTCTATAGGTTAGATCAAGTATGTTCATCTCTTGTTTACCATTTCAGTGATGAAAGTGACCATGACACTGTTGAATTTGCTTTTTAAGCATTCATATGTAGAAATAGTTTTGTTGTTTTCACATATGTAAACTAACATTTGACATGTGTCAGTGTAGACCATTCTGATTTTTTTGTTTGTTTGTTTTTTGAGACAGGGTCTCACTATATAGTTGAGACTGACCTGGAACTCACTGTGCAGCCCAGGCTGGTCTCGAACTCACAGAGATCCTCCTGCCTCAGCCTCCCAAGTGCTGGGATTACAGACATGCGCCACCAAGCCTGGCCATTCTGACATTTTTGAATGCT